AGATGTGGCCAGACCTGCTGAGCTTTTCCAGCAACTTTGTTTTTGTTCCTGATTTACAGCGTACACAGTTCTTTTGGTTTTTGCTTTTTTTGTGTAACCTTGCTGTGCGCAAATCTGCCCTACCCCCAAAATAAAGGTTCTTTGGCTATACAGTGAGCTGTGAGCTCCTGAATTTGTGACAATAAGTAGTTTTAAATCAGGAACAAAAACAGAAGTTGCTGGAAAACCTCAGCAGGCCTGGCAGCATCTGTGAAGAAAAGGCAGAATTAACAATTCGGGTCTGGTGACCCTTCTTCAGTGTTGCTCTTTACCACATGACTTCCATTTTCTTGTCTCCCTTCAATCTACTCAGTGAAATGTCAATAACTGCACTTAATGGAGTTATCCTGGCCTTATTAACCTTCGTAAAAGTAATTGAGTTTGAATTGGCAGAAAATGCTGAGAATGCATGAAGGATGTGTTCTACACCAAAATGTCCAGAAGAGTAGGTGGGTCAAGGAGAATGACCCAGAATCTTATAGACTCCTTCCTCAACTCTCATGCCCTCTAGCAACTGCCTTGTCATTGCAGAGGGCAACTGGTAGAAGACAAGCGATAGGTTTATTTGGTGTCACTGCTTATTCAGCCAAATCTTTGGGAAATTTTTTGATAAAAGTTTGGAATAAAGCTCACTTTGGGTCATCAGCATTTGATTTTCTCATTATTCTTGCAAATCAGAGAGCAAAAGTTGTTCAGGAGATGTCTGAAGGATTAAATTCATTACTCTGCTGCAAGATTACAAGAATTTAATTGCAGCAGATTGATACCAGAAACTCTTAATCAGGTACATAGTTTGTGGATATGAGAGATTATTAAGTACCCAACATGTCAAAATTAAGAATAAGAGAAACAAATGAAAAATCCAAAATAATTCCATTAGATTTTACCCTTTTGCTGAAAATTGATCTATAGTTTTTAAGCACTTAAAATGTTGGTAAAGATTGGAAATGTGCCTGTTGCCTTGACAAGTCTGTACATCCTTCTGGTTCCTTCTCAGAGACATCAGTGACAGCCTAACCTCCTGCTGTTTGTTCCCGGCAGCGTGTCACACGTGGGTTAGCTCTATCGGGTTTTCAAACCAAACAGCAAACTTCATCCAGGTTTGATATCCGCAATGAAGAGCGGTGACTGGCTGCCGGAGCGAGGGTGGGACGAGGGAGGAGAGAGCGGGCTGCCCACCAATCTGCAAGCTGTCCTTTCCGAGGAGCGCTGTCCAGGGACCGTGGTGCTGAAACTTCATCCGACACCACCGCCCCCCAACCACTACCAAAGCAGGCAGGCAGGCAGGCAGGCAGGCAGACACAGCACACTCCGCGCTGGGAGCTGTTCAACAAACGACCTTCCTGAAAGCGGGCAACTTCTTTAAGGCGGCACCATGGCATTCATCGTCAAGAACATGGTAGGCGGGCAGTTGAAAAACTTGACGGGGGGACTTGGCGATGATAAGGGCGAGGGAGAAAAGTCGGAAGCTGCAGCCCAAGGAATGACACGAGAGGAGTTTGAGGAATACCAACGGCAGCTGGTAGAAGAAAAGTAAGTGTCTTTTTTATTCTTTGGACCCTAGCCAAGACTGTGCTCCCAAACTGTAATCCCCAGGATAACATTTACATAGCAATGACAATGTATAGAGCCCAATGTCCGTCTTATTCATTAGGGTGCTAAGACATAGTCACCTTTAAACACTTTCTCCTGTATAGGTTTCGTCTGGTCTCCGTTCACTGTATTCATCTAGACAGTGAGGAATAATTCAAGTGTCACCATTATCCTAATATCAACCGATCAGATTCTAGTCAATAATGTAAAGGTGTACGAGAATGGGCACCTGGAATTATGTTTATTTTTACATACTAAGCTATTGGGATTCACCATCAATCTCCTTCCCCTGTAATGAACAGTCAATTATCTAAGATGGGTTGTTTGCAAATTTGAACCTGACTCATTGAATGTCTGAATCTTTAACAAATGACTGAATTATTAAATGGTTAAGTTAAATGATACAACATTTTTCACCAGATCAAGAGGGTAAAACCCCCATCTGAAATGTTTTGTAACACTTAGTATTTGTTGCTTTTGGTTTCATGCTCAGATTTTTTATTCGATAGAGAATTTTTGTCAGAATCGTTGCCTCACAATGAAGGGGGCATTCAATCCATCATGCTTGATCTTTGGACTTGTTGACCAAATGGCTCTCCTCCAGAGACCTTTGGGGTCATCTGGAATTATCCTAAGTTTTTGTGTTCCTGGCCACAGAAACTTGGATGAAAAAAAGCTCAAAGATCCTCTAGTGTTTTATTTGTGCCAGTTATTTTCAGTAGATAATTTTTGATACTTGTAGGATTTGCCCCATCACACCCTATCAATATCATTCACCCCCCCAAACCTATCATCATGAATATTATGTCTTCCCATGGTCCAGTTTGCTCCAAAGAGAACAATCCCAGTTTGCCCACAAATCTGAACCCCTCACCCTTCCAAGGCCTTCACTTGCTTTTAGCAGGCTCAGAGCTGTAGGCTGCAGATGGCTGACTGTTCTCTGGGTAAATGCTTTGCTGCATTCTCAAGGCAAAATTACGGGGGTGGGGATGTGGGGGCATTCTCATCTGTTCATCGTTTCACCCACATCAGGTTTTATAATTCCTAGTTCGTCAATAAGCCATCACAAGGTGCGTACTTTTAAGCTCAAAGCCAAGGGTTTGAGAGGAGATTTTAAAAGAGGAGGTTGGGAATGCACTGCCTGGGAGGATAGATGAGGCAGACAATCTCACAACTTTTTGAACATATTTGTATGAGCACTTGGAAATGTCATAACATTCAAGACAATGTGACTAGTGTAGCTTTGGTAGTATAGACTTGATGGGCTGAAGGGCCCTCTCAGTACTGGATGATTCTATGATTCAAAGCTGTTTCTTTTCCCTGTCTCCCAGCATTGAAATATCCAGGAAAGCATTACTAAAGATTAGCTCAAAAACAGAAATTGCTGGAAAAGCTCAGCAGGTCTGGCAGCATCTGTGGAGAGAAATCAGAGTTAACATTTCAGGTCCAGTGACCCTTCCTCAGATCTGATGTAATTGGGAAAGATTGGCTTCCTGACTCCTTGAGGTGTACTAAGTGCCGTACTTTGCAATTAGCCAGTGATTTTACAATTTCTCTTAGAAAAAACTCCATATTTCATTACAATAATCCATGTAGTATATTTCTGCAGTTTTTTTAAGAAAAGGCATTGCTTGCAGGTAAAACGCATGTAACAGACATTTGATACATCATGACTGAAGTTAACTAAAACAAGGGTTAACAGTTGCATTTCAAATAACATGGAATTATTCCAAAAGCCCAGATTGCTAACAGCTAAGTGGGGTTTATTTGATACATTTCCAACAGACCATGTTTAAAACTATAGATTTAACATGCCTGAACCCGAGTTACTGTGGCTCACTGTGATTTCATTTGACATACGGATTGTTTGTGAATAAATTCCCTGCGGCTTCTGTGCGGCCAACCTGTACAAGCACATGCGGTCCAGTTACTGTCAGAGCCATTGGAAGGGCAAAGTTTTTTTTTAGAAAAGTCTGATTCATTCTGGATGCTTCTGTTTGAATGTAGTCATGTCGTCAGTCCCCTTCTTCCTTTATAGCATTGTGACCAGGGTTTGACGGTGGAAGTTGGGAAAACAGTTTCAACAAGTAAATCCAAGAAGTAGACAAATGGAAATTGTCAAATGAACCAGGGTGGAGGGGAGGGAATGGAGATTTACAGTAAATTTACAGACAGGATTGGTAAACCTGAGAGCGAGGGGCCTACTTTCAAAGAGGAATTGGATGAATATTTGCAGAGTGCAAAACTTATTGAGGAAAGAGCACAGCAAGCAGATGAGTTGGATAGTTCTTTTAAGGACTGGTATGAGCACGATGGAATGAATGGCCTTTTCCTGTGCTGTATTATTCTAAGCTCCCTTATAGGGTACCATATTTCACCGAATAGGATTTAGTGAATGAATATCAATAGACAGACTATGAAATCTGGGATTAACATTTGCAACGCATTCTAGGCTAGTGACAATAGGCCAAAAGATAAAATGATTCATGAATCACCACAGTGTGGAAACAGGTCATTCGGCCCATCAGGTACACACCGACCCTCCGAACAGCATCCCACCCAGAGCCACTCCCCACCCTATCCCTGCATAATCAACCCTATGCATCCCTGGACACTATGGGCAATTTAGTATGGCCAATCCACCTAACCTGCACAGCTTTGGACTTTGATTTACTTAGAACAGTAAACAGCAACAGGCCCCTTCGTGCCATCGTATAAAACCTCGAATTCTGTCCCAGGCTAACTCAGCTGACTGAGCCAGTGGGGTGTACACAGCAGCAAGGTCCGTGGAGGGAATGGGGGTGAGATATTAGGATTGTCAGCAACTGAGTTGGACACTGACAGAATTGATCACTGCTTCCTGATAGTGATCAACTGGAGGGGAAACACCACTTTAGGATAGGAGCTGGGTTTGGGGGAGAGGCAGGGGATGGGTTTCAAACATTTAGCCAACACATTTTGTTTAATGCTCACTGGTGAAGATCTAGAGATGAGAGGGCATCTGTGGAAAGAAGAAATCTGTAAAGGGATCATATAACGTGTTAGATAGTCAAACTATAGACCATTCAGAGAACAAAAAATGCTGAGATCACAGCAGGTCAGGCGGCACCCGTGGAGAGATAGAAACTAACATTTTGAGTCTAGATGACTCTTCATCAGGGCTCCAGCATTTTGTGTTTTCAGTACAGATTCCAGCATCTGCAGTGATTGCTCCTTTAGACCATGCAGTGTTGCCTGTTATGTTGGCACATCAGGGAAGAACACCAGCAATAAAGTATAAAGACAAAAATGCTGGAGATCTGAGATAAAAACAGAAAGGGCTGGAGAAACTCAGCGGGTCCCAGCAACATCTGTGGACAGAGAAACAGAGTTGAAAAAAGAAATGCCAACTCTGTTAGAGTGGACAACCAGAATAAGCTGGTTGTTTAGTGAACAGAGCATTTCTTTCCATACTCTCAGTTATCCCAACATCCTAAAATATGTTCCAAAAAAAAAATAAAACTGTGGATGCTGGAAATCAGAAACAAAAACAGAAATTGCTGGGGAAGAAGGAAACTCAGTAAGTCTGGTAGTATCTGTGGAGAAAATTCAGAGTTAACGTTTCGGGTCCAGTGACCCTTCTTCAGAACTGCACCCGAAACGTTAACTTTGCTTTCTGTCCATAAATGCATAGGAGGCTAAGGGGTGACAATATAGGGGTTTATAAAATCATGAGGGGCATGGATAGGGTCAATAGCCAAGATCTTTACCCCAGGGTAGGGGAGTTGAAAACTAGGGGACATAGGTTTAAGGGGAAAGATATAAAAGGGATCTGAGAGGCTTGTTCACACAGACAGGGGCATGTATGGAATGAGCTGCCAGAGCAAGTGTAGAGGTGGGTACAATTAGATCATTTAAAGACATTTGGACAAGTACATATATCAGAAATGTTTAGAGGGATATGGGCCAAATGCAGGCAAATGAGACTTGTTCAGATTAGGAAACCTGGTCAGCATGGACGAGTTGGGCTGAAGGGTCTGTTTCTGTGCTGTATGGCTGTATGTTGCCAGACATGCTGAATTTTCCCAGCAATATTTTTTTAACCCTAAAATATATGCTTTGAATATAACAGAGAGTTTCAGTTTGCAGGGTACATGGGATTAGCCAATTTCACCCCTCGAGATAACTGCACAATATCTGAGCAGTGGGACAGGGTAGGTGGGTGCTGGGGGCAGTTCTATTACACTTGGATTGCTACCTCTATCATTTGTACTTTATCTATTCCACCACTCTTAAGTGGTAGTTCACTTGATGAAGGACGGGTCAAATCTATTCAGTGATATTTCAAGTGTCCTAGGGTGAATTTAGGGCAGTGTGTTCTCCAACTCAATTACATGGGCAAGTTGAAGAATTTTGCACTTGACATTGACAGAAAGATACAACTTCAACAAGGTGCGATTGTAAATTCGTTCCTTTGCTCCTGGTACCAACTGGAGGGGTAATTCACCCCGTTTCTATTGGAGGGAAGATCACAGGACAGGTCAAAATCCCTGAGCGAGGCACCTCTGCACCCCACTGGATGATGTTGTCCATCATTTCAGAGTTTCTACTGCACACCTCTAGTGCAGGTGAGACTTGAACCTGGGTCTCCTGCTCCAGAGGTAGGGACACTACCACTGCAACACAAGAGCCCAAATTGAACAATGTTTAATTCAATCGACAATATAGCAACTTGAAAGAAGTATGTGCTATTTCTAGGTTTTTTTGTAAATTTTTTTGGTTAAAAAAGTGTTGGAACACCCAATCTGATTCAATGCTCACAGAATTGTGTCCTCTCTTGTTTGGGCTGGAAACTTTAAAAACAATCTTACCAGTGTCAAAACCTAGTCTTGGGATGTTTGTATATCCTAGTTCATATGGTTGCTAATACATTCATTAAGAGATTGAACACCTTCTTCTCC